TCTGTGCTACACAGGTAATTTGAGGCTTCTGGATCTGCAAAGTCTGATGTAAACACTAGAAGACCGAGCTTCCTCTCTTGCTTGTTCAACAGAACAGTACCATCTGTGTGATGTACTTCAGACTCCCAACAACCGTGACTGGATTCAGGTATAGCCATAGCCTAGACCGGGTGAGCACTAATAGTGGACTTACCTGCATGGCTGGAGGCTATAGTCTCTTACCTCACCTATAGGAAGCTGTTAAATTGCTCCCGATTTCCTTAATCCTCCCTCATGATGTGGGCTTGGGGCACAGAGAAGGCACAGAGAATATACGGTAATCTCTGCTCTCGGATCTTAAGGGCTGAAGTTGGTGTTGGTACCCTGCTGAAACGTCAATGTGCGGCAGGCCCTTTTATTTTAACTTATCTGTTTCCTGGCATTTATTAGTTGACTGTAAAAACAATTATAATATTCTGCAGTCACACCTGACGTTGGGTAAGCATGGGTTTGTTTTATCCATTGTGAGTAGGAGACTTTGGTTCTCCTCTAAAAAAATAGCTTCAGGAGGCAGCTTTGAAATTGGCAAGATCAAAAAGTGGTCCAGAGCACAGTACTCTCTTCATGCTTAGCCACCCACCCATTTTCATATTGTTTCCCTCAATAATAGGGGGCTCAGTTTATTTTTCACTCCCTATGATGTGACCTATAAAGATGCTTTTAGAGCGATTAGTGTTATGAGACCCCCAGAGAGCAGTTTTTCTGTTTAAAAAAGAAGGAGTCTGAGGCTATTTGAATGTATTAGACAAGGTGTTTTTTGAGGGAATGGCGAAGCCCTGACTGATGTGTGTTGTGCTCTCTGATTTAAATAAACAAGTAGGAATTCTGCACCAAGAATTCAGTTCTGTGATCTCTACATCCTATTGCTAACCGTGAATGACAGTTTTTGGAAAGCTTTTTTTAAAATAAATGCATGCAACCCTTTCTTTTGACTCAGAGCAGATCTGACTCCCAAGTTTGATGGAGACCCTTAGCAAGATATCCTCTGGCAGGTGCCCCCAGGCGAATGAGCAGTGATGGCCACCCTCCCTTTCTCTCAGGTAGCATGGAGCCCTCTCCCCCATGCTACCATAGCAAGAGGGCAAATGGTGGTGGTCGTGATTGCTGCTCCTGGTCAGCAACTGTTGAAGCTGTGTGTGACTGCCCCATGTGGCAGATCATGGAACTCTTAGAGGCAACCTTCTCAGAGGAAAGCCTTCTGGCCTGCTGCACACCCAGGCTGGCCATTGGATCTTATTGGGCAGAAAGGATTCCCGTTTCCATTGAGCTTTGCTTGAGCAACATAGTCTTCCTGAGCCTCTGGGACGTTGCTGTATCTCATTGGTCCTGCTTCTTGGTTTTGTTCTCTAGTACCAACTGCGTTACCGTGTCATCCAACCACAACCTGTGTAGGAATAGGGATATTTCTACTCTGGCATCATTTGGACTCCTCACGTGGTGAACACAGCACAAGAGTTAGGATTTCGTCCCCACCCTGCAAAAAAAGAAATTCTTCTTGCATTTCCTGCAACCATAAAGTTGATACTAATACCCACATTGGCTCGGATATATACATGATCTGAAAATGCCTGTCTCCCACGTTTTTCTACTTGGTGTTAAAAATATTCACACATCCTCACAAATAGCATGAGAGAGGCTAAAAGGTGCCATTCACTGTCGTGCGCTAAAATGCCCTTGAAGTACCTTTCCTTAGATTAATGTGAGCCCTTACGTGGAAGCAGTCCCGCTGTCCCTTCTCATTTGGGAAACTTTTGCAATAGTTGTCCAACTCCATCATCATAATTTTTCATAATTTCTATAACCCTTTCTGTATATAATTCTTATTTTTGTATTCACCCCATGCAGTAGGTTAGGCTAAGGGTTCGTTGCTTGTCCATAGGGCTACCCTATGCATCTTACAATTAAGGTGGGCTTTTCAAGGTCCTAAACCCAAGGCTTCTGTCGCCTACTCAACCAGCCCCCTCAACCCGCCTTCTTGAGCAGTGAGTTGGAACCAGCCATTTGTGGGACATGTCTGTCCAGGAGACACAGCTGCAGCAGTGTCACAACCACCTTGCTGACCAGGGTTATATGGATGTTGCGGTGCTGATGCGACCACATTGTGCCACTTTCCCCAACCTGAGTGATGCAGTACAGGGAACTGTACCACTTTGGCCTGGAAGCGAAGGCTAAAGTGCCATATGATAATTAACTCCCCGCAAGTAGAAAGCTAACACACCAGGGAGAGTGTTTCTAGCCTAGCCTACTTCCTGCTTTGCTAATTTCACGCTTGCAAGGCTCTGCCAAGTTCAGCTTCCAGTGACTGTGCATGCTCAAGCTTCATGCACAGAAGGAATTAATTTTTTTATAAGACTGTTCAAAATCCCACCCCACACCCCACCCCGTAGTTGGGCAGGTGGTATGAGACCGCTGGATTGGACAGGTCAAGTATAAAGGCTTTCTGCCCTTGCTTTGCCAATAGATTAGTACCTTTTGCCTGCTACGGTTCAGATTCCTAGCTTTTGTTTGAGGAACTGACCTTGGTCCCAAGGCGAAAGTCCACATCCTCCATCATCCCTAGCTAACAGGACCAGTGGGATGATGGGAATTGTAGTCCCAAAACATCTGGAGGGCCGAGTTTGGGGATGTCTGCTCCAGGTCATTAACCCATTTCCTAAATACAGTAGACTGGATTCAGAGCAAGTTAGCCATGTTCTAGTTCCATTGAAATTGCCAAGGCTTAGGTCAGTCATGACTCTTGTTCCATATATTTCAGTGACTGACTTGCTCTTGTTCCAACCCAGTACAGTGGTACCTTGGTTCTCAAATGCCTTGGTTTTCAAAGGCTTTGGTTCTCAAACTCCGAAAACCTGGAAGTAAGTGTTGTGGTTTTCGAACGTTTTTCGGAAGCCCAACATCCAATGTGGCTGTGGGCTATTGTTTCCGGGGCACCTGCACCAATCAGAAGCTGTGCCTTGGTTTTTGAACATTTCGGAAGTCAAATGGACTTCTGGAACTGATTAAGTTTGGCGCTTTTGTTTTTGCTATTTATTTTGTGTTTTTGTTTTTGAGGCTTTTTCAATTAATTAGTTTTTGTGACTGTGTGGAACCTAGTTCAGCCACTGATTGATTGATTGATTGATTGATTGTGTGACTGCAGAAATGGATAAAAGCCCCCCATTCAAACAATGACTATCATCAGTGCAGGTAAGAAAAAAATAATAATTTTAATCATCTACAATACTGTCTTATTTATTTTATAGTACAGTACATTGATTATTGCTTTCATTTTATAGATTATTGTTAAATTGCTGTTTTAGGGATTGTTTTTAAAAGTCTGGAACAGATTAATTCGTTTTGCATTACTTTCTATGGGAAAGCACGCCTTGGTTTTGGAACGCTTTGGTTTTGGAATGGACTTCCGGAACAGATTAAGTTTGAGAACCAAGGTACCAATGTATTCCCTGTCCCCAATCCAAAATCTTACCCTCCGCTTGCTCAGTTAACCAGAGGCAATTGCTACTCAGCTCAGGCAACCAAGTACACCCCTTGCTGCAGTCCTGCATTAGCTGCCCTGATGACAACTGCAGAAGGGATAGTAATTAGAAGAGAATGCTCTCTACGTGTTTTCGCTTGTGTGTACCGTACCTCCTCGTTTGTCCTCATGCCTGTTTAAAACGAGGGCAGCCAAGACTAGACACAGTCCAAGATTGAAGCCAAGTCAAGCACCACTCTCCATCCTCTCCTCATTGCTGGTTGGTGTTATGATTACTTAATGCATCTACCAGTGCGTCCCTGGATGCATGCGGGGGGGGGGCACAAATTCATATGTCTTCACAGTCTCACACATAGGGGAGGATGCAATTTGCGTGCAAGCTGTCTTTGTCTTGCTGGCTCTTGGAGGTGGTGCTGGATGGAAGCACTGGGCTGGGGGTGGGGGAACTGGTAGCTGAAATGGACTTCCAAGCGAGGCACTTGGTGTTCGCCCTTCCTGGGAAGATGGCTGCATTGGAAGCCGTAGTTAAGACCCTGAATTCCTACTCATTTCAGTGGGGAAATTTAAGCGTGAGCATAGTTCTCTTCCATTGTAAACAAGGGGTCTTAAAAGTGCTTAATTTGGCTGGACTTTGCCCATCGTTTTAACAGCAGGGCCAGCAGTTAGTAGGTTTCTCAGCATTGCTCGTTTTTATTTATTTTCTCTCCTATTTATCTCTTGTCTCATCTTTTCTCATTGTTCCTTCTCCTTTCATGTAATCAGCACCCACACCCACACCCCTCTTCATTTTGGTATATTCTATTATTTCTCCTCTTCTCACATCTACTTTTCTCTGCTCTTGTTTTGGCTCTTCTCCTCTTCCTCTTCCTTTCTCTTTTTTTATTTATGTGCCCCCCCTTTCTCATACATATCTCTGTGTTGTTCTTTTCTCATGCGTATCTTCGCTCTCCTCCCATATTTAATCTCTCTCTCTCTCTCTCTGACTTGTGATCTTTCCCCCCTCTTTCTTATGCTCTTTTTCTTTCTTTGTCTTTTCCCTCCCTTTCTCTTTCATCGCAGTCTCTTACTAAATGAGTCAAAACAGACATTTGTCATGTTCCCTACAGGAAGTACTGGGGGCTTTTGTTCGAAAAGCTGCTGGCTAAGCAGAGCCTCTGACTTTCTATTATTATTTAAACAGGCCCCACTGAGCTTTTTTCTCTGGAGCGCATGGAGCGCACACATGCACATGCAAACCGCCAATTTCTGGCAGGGTGGGAGGCAGGTTTGAAAACTCAATCTCTGAAAATAAGATTTCAGTCCCCATCAAATTGCGCATCAGACTCTACACATTTTGAAGGACCAGAGAAGAGCACATATTAGATAGACTTTATTCATTTATCCTTTAAAAATCTGCACTCTTGGTGCCCGTATAGAATCATAGAATTGTAGAGTTATCAAGGACCATGAGGGTCATCTAGTCCAACCCCCTGCAATGCAGGAATCTTGCTCCATGTGGGGCTCGAACCCACAACCCTGAGATTAAGTGTCATATTCTGTACCAGCTGAGCTCATTATTGACCTTAGGCTGCATCTGCACATTCCTGGTGGGGTATTTCCACTGAGGTTATTTAAGGGCAACACTCTTGATGTTGCACTGTTCACACATGCTGTAAGTACAGGAATACAGAGAGAGAGAGAGAGAGAGAGAGAGAGATTGCATTTAGTTAAGTCTTGTAAGGGTAAGAGCTCTCCCTGTCTTCTGATTTTTAGAGAAGGTTTACAATCCAGGATGGGCCTTACTCTGCGTTCCCATGATGTACGATTAAAGAGAGCAGGTGCATATTCCACTTTAAGCAGAACCCCATGTTAATTGTGTGTGTGTGTGTGTGTGTGTGTGTGTGTGTGTGTGTAAAAGCCAATTATTCCATGGCTCAATAGAATTTGTGATGGAAATGAACAAATTGAAGTATTTTAATTGTCTACATTAAGAGTTTAAACTAATGACTTTTTTATGACAGCTAAGAACCTTTTTTAATATACTAGTATAATAGATTTCTAAATCATATTGTAGAATTGCGTATATTATCATTAATTTGATTAATGTAATCAACCTTATTAGTCCCTCCCCCCTTTCCCCACTCTCTTTCTCTCATTTTTTCGGTACTGGATTTAAACAGATATTGTGAGCTCCAATTCTGCATTTTTTTTGTTCTTTAGAATGTTTTCCCCCCACTGTAATTTTAAATTTAAAAGGGAAGGTTCTTTTGGTGAGAGGGTGGGGATACCCCCCACCACACACACACACACCAAAGAAGACCTTGTATGCCTGCTGTTCCTTCACCTTATCTTGTGGGGTGGGGTGTTGTTGTTAAAGCATTTATTAAGCAGAAATATCCCACCATCGCCCCCTCTGCAGTGAACACGGCCTTGGTCCCTCACCTGAAATTAATGTGCTGATTTGGAAGTCCAAGGTCCAGTGGAACCATTCAGACTCCTTTGAGGAGAGATGCATTTGGGGCTCAAAACGCAGGCTTATTTCAGTGTTTCCAGTGCTAAAAAAATATGGGTAAGGAGCCCTTTCAAAACATCCAGGGGCCAAAGGGGGAGAGAGAGGGTTTTGAATGTATTTTATAGTGGGTGGGGGTTGATCCCTGACCTTATCACCTTTTTAAGGGTCTTTTTTGAGAAGGGATGACAGGGCTTTCAAAGGCTTGAATTGCTCCCTATTTATTTACCTGTTACTGTTTTACCAGAATGGCATTGTCCTGTCAGAGAGGGAAAATAGCACCAAAGTGCCCTCTTCCCAGGCATTTTCTTAACAGTCCTTACCATAAACAGCAGCAACTCCCCCCCCCAACCCCTGGTTGTATATCTCATGCAAGCACTTCTCTCTTGAAAGAAGGTTGGGGGGGAGGGGAATGTGTTGGAGGGGGGGGAGATCTCAAGCCTTGAAGGTTTGATTAGAAAGAGTTTGAGGGGGGGTTGTGTTTGTGTGTGGGTGTGTGCTTGCTGCACATTTGTAGGGCTGTTTGTAAGTGCTTCCACATTGCATCAAGTAGCTTTTGACAGAAAGCCCTGGGGAGTCTCCTTATCAGTGATGAGGAATGGCTGTTATTTTCTAGCTGTGTTTTTGTTGTTGTTTAAACATCCAACTTGGATTTCTTTTGAATTTGAAAGTGATAAGAAAGTGTGATCCTCTTCTATCCAGCCTGCCTCTTGATGCGAATCCCTGAGTTCTTGACAGGATGGCTTAACAGCTGCCCATCATCCTATATAAACCCAATGCTTAATTTCTAGGGGAAATGTATGCTTTTATCCTTGAAAGCCATTCTCAAATTTAGCCACCCCTCTGTTTCCCTGATTCGTGGGCGTTCTCTTGTTATTGTTGAGGAAGGTGTACTCTGCGTTCGCTGAGTGGTGTATTCATCTATTCTATTCTCCTATGATCCCGGGTTTCACCTTGGCATTTAAAACAAGCCTTGTTGAGCATGGCACATATCAAGGCCTGCATATAGAGATACACAGTCAAACATTTGTGGAACGTTTTAGATATATAAATGAACCAAATGGCAGGGACTAAGTCACATGCTGAGAACCTGAATGGGCTACCATAATGGTGGACCATTCAGGGTACCATCATGTGACTTAGTCCTTGTCATGTGATTTGGGGAAGGACTGTTTAGTGGGAGAGCGTCTACTTTGCATTGAGAAGGCCCCAGATTCACTCCCCAGCATCTCCCAAGTAAGGCTGGGAGAGAACTGTCTGGAATCCTGGAGTCTGTGCAGACAATTGTGAGCCAGATAGACTAATAGTCTGACTTGGTATAAGGCAGCGTCCTCTGTCCCTCTGAGTCTGCAAGCATTTTTTAAAAAGATATATACATTAGCATATTTTTATTTATATGGAAATTTATACCCTGACCTTCTGGTGCTTACCCGCAGCAGCTGACAACAATTAAGGCCAACCGTAAAATATAATAAAATGATCAGTGTTTCCCAAACTTGGCTCCCCAGCTGCTTCTGAACTACAGTTCCCATCATCCTTGACCACTGGTCCTGCTAACTAGGGTTGATGGGAGTTGTAGTTCAACAACCATTGGGAGACCCAAGTTTGGGAACCACTGGGTTGGATGATCCTCATGGTCCCATTCAAATCTGCAATTCTATTACTCTGTAAAAGCAAAACTACAATAGAATAAAAAGAGACAAATGTAGATCTTGTTCTGTTCCCTCCATATGCATGGAAATCTAGAGTGAAGGAGATGAATTCCTGAACACATCTTTAAATATGTGCAAGGCAATGCAGGAATCTGTGTGGAAAACATTGGGCTATAATTGGATATGTGATGTTTGGTGGCCTAGATATATATATATACCCCTGAAAACTTTCTATGGGAGGATGCTGTCGTTCCAGCTTTTGTTCAGGGCTTGATGATAACATTTAGCATTGGAAAGGAGTTGCTCTGTGGATCATATTGGCTAAGAAAACCTGATGGGGAGGGGAAACGTGTCCAAAACACAGGGCTTGGCTCACTTCCTCAAGGCACCTGGGACTATTTTGCTTTCTGTGTTTGCTTGAGCGTTCCACACCTCTTCCTGTGTCATCTGAATTATGTGCCTGATTTGTGAAAGATCCTGTCTTGCAAGTAAGCAAAGGAAATTTGTGTTTCAAGGTATGTGGGACATTTCTGAGCAGGTGAATATTTGTGTAGAAGCTGAGAAGTACTGGGCAGGTAGAAAATGTAATATATACAGAGCAAAAGTCTTGCACTAATTTAACTCCAGAAGGCTTTCTCCTCCTGCTCAGACCACTCTTGTTTGTACAGTTCATCTGTGACCCTGGAACGCAAACTTGATATCCATTCTTCTTTTTCTAGAGAATACTAGATCAGTGCCTAGTTCTGTTGACAAATCTTCTCTCAAAATCCATGCCAATAATACACAGGGCTGCAAAAACCCTTTGCTGTGAATATCTGAATTCTAAGATATTCAGTGATAATGTTTGATAATGTGTGGTTTGCTATGCCTAATAAAGGATATTAGAATTCGAATTCTAAGACAACCCATCTAAATTACTCATATTAAGCACATTATTATTTTACTTTCTTACTTTGAATAATTTATTTTCCTTAAGCTAGTCATGGGTGGGAGCAAGGAGCATGTAGGATGAGACTGATGTCTTGTCTCCTGACTTCTACCAGGCGTTGCTCATGGACTTAAGACTCAAATTGTGTGCTCTTGCTTTATCAAATTGGAGAATCTCAGGTCCTGACCAGTACCCAGTTCTACCCCATGCAGAATTGCAAAATAGGTATAGCTGTGGCTTTAAATTCTGCTGTAATCTTCTCATATGCCGTCTGTCTGTCTGTCTGTCTATCTATCTATCTATCTATCTATCTATTGTGTCTGTCCCCTGTAAAGAGGGGCAGGCTGTGGCTCGGGGATAGAGCACTGGTAAAGCTAAAAAATGCCCCGGAGAGCCTCTGCTGTTATAGATAATGGAATCATGTAATTGTAGAGTTGGAAGGTACCACAAGTGTCATCTAGTCCAACCCCTCCTGCAATGCAGGAATATTTTGCCCAGTGTGGGGCTCAAACCCACAACCCTAAGATTACAATTCTCATGCTCTACCCCCCACCCCCGGCTGCTGAAACCAAGCACACACCGGGAACAGTTATGGACCACAGGTATGAAGTTTACGGCATGTAATGCCTTAAGAGAGAATATCATGAAAATGATATACAGGTGGTACATGACCCCAGTCAAGCTTGCAAAAATCTACCATTTGCCCAATAACAAATGTTGGAAATGTAAAGAAACTGAAGGTACATTCTTTCACCTTTGGTGGACGTGCCCAAGGATTAAGGCTTTCTGGGAGATGATATATAATGAATTGAAAAAGGTATTTAAATATACCTTCTTGAAGAAACCAGAGGCCTTTCTCCTGGGCATAGTCGGCCAACTGGTGTTAAAGAAGGACAGAACTTTCTTTATGTATGCCACAACAGCAGCAAGAATACTTATTGCAAAGTATTGGAAGACACAAGACCTACCCACTCTGGAAGAATGGCAGATGAAGGTGATGGACTATATGGAATTGGCGGAAATGACTGGCAGAATCCGAGACCAGGGAGAAGAGTCGGTGGAAGAAGATTGGAAGAAATTTAAAGACTATTTACAGAAATATTGCAAAATTAATGAATGTTAGAATGATGTTGGAATGAAGCTAGGTGGTTTAAGCAGTAATGCCATAAAAGGGTATGTAAAAAAGGATTGATAAGAGATGAAAATTTAAAGTTATAGTATATTAAGTTAAAGGACCATGAGAAAACAAAGAGGGAAAGAAATTGCTGGCTTAACTAATTGAATTGGAATACAAAAAAGGGAGATAGGAGGAGGTCAGGGAAACAAGGATATGAATGTAAGCTATGGAAAGATTGATCTATTTTTCTTTTTTTTCTTTTTAAGTGTCTTTTATTCTTTTATTTTGTATTTTGTATTCTGTATTTTTACTTCTTGTTTTTGTGTAATTCTTTTTTTCTGAAATTTTAATAAATATCATTTAAAAAAAAAAAGAAAAGAAAAAAAGAAACCAAGCACACACCTCACACTTTTTCTATGGACTACAGAAGGATGCTTCTTCCAAGCCAGTTTTGGTAGGGGGTAGCGGACCCGGTGGGCTCCAGGGAAGGCCTTGTGGGAGCAAGCCTGCCCTGGAAGTGAAACATCTCAGATCAGAGAAGGGAAACTTTCAGGCCTTCAGTGTGCATGCACATAAATGCATGTGCACGAACACTATGGCTCCTCTAGAACGCAGCCTGCTGCCATTTTGCATGCTGCTCCTTTTGGAAGTGTGCAGCAAGCGTTGCGCTTTTCTGGAACACCACCCTTTTGAAAATCACACGACCGGATCCAAGCTGTCAGTAGGGAAAATTCTTTCTTGGTTGCCCAAACACCAGATTACTGCGAACTGCTTCCCCTCTTGGTAACTGCCTATCAAGATCCCAAAGGTTGCTTGGTTCGTCTGAGCTGTAGCAGTTCTATTTGGGGCACAAGCAGATCTGTGAGATTAAACATTTCTAGGAAGCTTTCAAGTTTTAGTTTCGTTCCAGTGGAAAAAAGTTGGTTCATCAATTCCCCAGCCTGGTGTCAGAAACCTAGCTATTAAGAAATAATTGAATAGCATACAGCAGGCAGAGGAGGACTTTTGGAAATATGTAATGGTTGTGTGTAGATCTGGCAGCATTTGCTGGTGTGAGAATAGGTGTTTGCATGAATGTGCATGTATTAGTGAAATGTTGCAGGTTTTTTGTGCTCGCATGTGTTCTTGAACGTGATGCTGCTCTGTGGAGAGCAAACATTTTGCTGTCCTCTGCCCGCAAAGTCGCAGACATGTCTATACAACTCCAAAGCTGCAAGGAGTAGAAACTTGCTACTTCTTTTAAATGAGAAATGTGATTTTCCATAGGGGCTGCTAGAATCTATGCTAGAGGCCACATTATGCATCCCTGCTCTCTCTCATGCAGTCTTAAAAATTCCTTTTCACTCTTTCGCTTTCCTTTCATTCTGGGAGTTCTCGTTTTTGAAGTCTTGCACATTCTAAAATCAGAAGCCAGTGCCAATGAAACAGGTGAACTGATGTCGCATAGTGGTCAGAAGCATGCATTGTGAGCTGGAAATTCCCCAGTTTTAAACTCTGCTCAGCTCTAAATCCACTAGGTGTCCTTAGGCAAAAGCAGACTACTATTCTGTACTGTGGGGATAAATATTCTGGCCTAGGTTACAGAATGGTTCTTAGCGAGTCACTGTATGTAAATAGTTTGGAGCACATAAAAACAATTACATAAATCCTTTTTGCAAGTGTATTCCCCGTCCCCCTTCTCCTCAAACACCAGCCTGGCAAAGAGACCAGTGTGACTTAAAAGCTTGCTGCCTACATTTCAAACCCTGGCTGGCCTACCTAAAGGCAATTGTTGCCCTCCCTTATTTTGCATTTCCCACTTTGCAGGGCTCAGAGTGGCCACCGAGGCGGCTTTCTATCCTGTTTCATTATTCAAAACATTTTCAGCACCAACATTTCCGCAGCACCTCCTAGTTTCTCCACTGCCTAGTTAGCTGGCAGGTGCTCTGAGGCCAGGTGGGATTTGCACTCGCAGCCTTTGGCAGGTCTGGTGTGTGTGTTTTTGTGTGTGTACCTCTTTTATTCCTTTTATTTCTTCCTGCCTTTCTAATGGGTATGTAAGCAGGCTTTTCTTCCCCTGTCTCTCCGGGCTGGCCCCTTCTCCACAGCCCCCTGGAAAACCGGGCATCTCCGCCTGCGTTGTTGCTGGTGGGTCTGGCTTTTGGCTGTGCGGTGTGGCGGCGGCGGCGGCATGCCGGTGGCAGCCCTTGGCAGGAGGAGAAGAGGAGGAGGAGGAGGAGGAGGGGAGCGCCCCCGTGATGTCACTGGGAAGGAGAAGGCCTGCGAGTGGGTCATTTGGAGGTGAAGCTTTTTTGCAAGGAGAGTTCAGGCGGAGTTCAGCTGCATAACATTACGCAAATGAGGGGCGGCTGGAGGAGCAGCAGAAACCTCCCTTTCGCAGAGGGGTGATGCAGGCAGAAGGGGCCGCCCTGGCCGCTGCCGAGCCACAGCAACCGGGAAAGAGGGGGCTCTCCTCCGGCTTGCCCTCCACTCCAGGGATGGAGAAGGCAAACGAGGAGGATGCCGTGGCCGCCGCGCCTTTGTAGCTGGAGACAGCTGCCGGAGAGGCATTTTTCTATGCCTGTCATTTCCCACCCGCTTCCATCCCTCCTCCTCCTCCTCCCCCTTCTCCTCCTCCTCCTCCTCCCCCCCTTCCTTGATTTCATTCATTCATTTTTCTCTCTCCTCCTCCCCTCCCCCTCCTCCCCCAGCCTGCGCTTTTCCGCAGTTGGCTGGGGCTGCGCAAGACACAGACCGCGGCAGGTAAGGAAAGAGTTAAGCCAGCTGAGAGGCGACTTTTCGTGTCAGGGAAGATTGTGCGCTGCCTTTAATCTATCAGTCCTGTACATCACACACACCACGCGACGTGCGCACACGCACACGGCGCCCCTCTCTCTCTTTCTTTCTCTCTCTCTCTTTTTCCCGGGGAGAGAAGAGACCGAGCAAGCAGCTGGAGAAAAATCTTCTTCCATCCAAGGAGACTCGAGGGTTCCAGGCCTCTGGCATCTCCCCAGGCATTGAGAACCTGGCAACACATTTGTACAATTCAGTTCTTCTTATTTTTCTTCCCCCTCCACCCTCTTTCCGTGGAGGGGGGGCGGGAGGACAGAGGTGGAATTTTAATATATGTATATATATAAAACCCATGAGCACAGTTTCTGTGCATTGTATTCAGTCCTCTTGCCAGACAGGAAAAGCTATTGAATCCTAAGCAGGAAGTCTTACTTATTTTTATTTTATTTTACTTGGGTGGTTGTTTTTTAGCGCGTGAGTGTGTAACTTTTTCTACCCTTTTTCTGGAAGGAGTTGCTGCAAAAGAATAACCCCCCCCCTCCTTTTCTCCTCTTTCCTCTGGTTAGTTCTGGAGAAGGAGAGGGAGAGAGAGAGAGAATCATGGAACTGAACAGGAGGAGGATTTGTGACCAAAATGCTCTCTAAGACCAGGGAACCGACTTCTTCAAAGAATACTGCTTTTGGAAAGGCTTGGATTTTATTGTTGTCTTTTTTTGAAAGTAAGAATTCCATTTTTCTTTTTCTTTTCTGTTTTTTGGATTTATAAATATGTTTCGGTCTTGAAACGGGAGAAGCATTTCAGACTGGATTGGCCGGCTTGTTTCCCAAGGGATATGCTTGGAATAGAAGATTGAAGACTTGAATATTATCTTTTGGTGTGAGTGTGTATGCGTGTGTGTTCTTTTTTAAAAAAAAACAAACTTTAAGCAAAAACACTGGTGGCCAACTCAGCCTGTTTGGCGGATTCCCCAGTTGCTTTTGGATTCCCTAAATACCTCCCCACTAGGGATCGAGAGCGAGAGAAAGGGAGAGAGAGATCAGAAAACAGAAAACAACCAGACAAACCTCCCCTCATCCCTCTGGATTCATCATCATCACCACTGTAGGATTTTGCTCTTTGGTCTTTCGTAAACCAAACTTTTCCTCTTGCTTCCCTCCTTCCCGTTCCCCCACCAGCCCCCAACCCTCTTACCCTCTTCTTCCGCCTGGAGAAGATGTACGAAAGTGTGGATGTAGCTGGTTTAAACAGCAGTCCTAACCCCTTCTTCATGATGGATTTTTACAACCAGAACCGTGCGTGCTTGATCCAGGACAAAGGACCCGGGAATCCCAACAACCTTTACAGCACCCCTGTCCGAAACCAGCATTGGAACAGTTCCAACCACTGTACGTATTACGAGATCTCTCCAGGGCCTGAACCACCTGGGGTGACAAACCGCCCCCCCCCCCCGTCCATTGCCCTTCTCCCCCCTGTTGGCCAGCTTTTGATCTTATTAAGAAAGATCAGAAGCTATACCGCGAGTGGTAGTGGGTAGCTGGGTAACATGGACTCTGTGTCACCTTTGAAATTTGAAAGCCTTGGTTTGTTTGTGGACTGTGTCAACCCCCACCCTGTTGTGATAGAGGATGGGGGGGGCTTTAGGATCAAAAGCTGGGACTGCAGTGTGCTTCTAATGTGTATGTGC